TCACAGAGCTGCTTTGAGGACAAAACTAGAGTATGAACTTACATCTTTCAGAAAGTCCAAGTCTTGAGTTATTTACAAATGCCAGCATGGCAGCTGGCTCCCTCCAGAATGCTCTGAAGCATATCTCAGGGTTTTGGAAGAGAAGGTGATGGTTTGAGGGCATCCAGAACCTGAAAATTCTTTTTGCTTTTCTTATTCTTTTTTAAAGATTTATGGTAATGGCCCATACTTTTAATCCCAGCACTTGGGAGGCAGAGGCAGTCAGCTCTCTGAGTTTGAGGCCTGATATAGGAGGTTCTTCTTTCTATGTGTTGCTTTCATTGGTTAATAAAGGAACTGCTTTGGGCCTATCGCAGAGCTGTAGGGGAACAGAGCTAGGTGGGGAAAACTAAACTGGGAGGGAGAAAGCAGAGAGAGAGAGAGAGAGAGACACCATGGAGCCACCAGAGACAGATATGCCAAATCTTTGCCGGTAAGCCACTGCCATGTGGTGATAAACAGATTAATAGAAATGGGTTAAATTAATGTAAGAGTTAGCCAATAAGAAGCTAGAGTTAATGGGTCAAGCAGTGATTTAATTAACACAGTTTCCGTGTGGTTATTTCGGGGCTGAGCAGCAAGGAACTAAGGAGTGGCCTCCTCCTACAGAGACTAGCCTGGTCTACAGGATAACTGTTACACAGAGAAACTCTGTCTCAAGGAAAGAAAAACAAAATTTATGGACTTGTTATTGTATTTATCCTTTTGTTTTATTTTGTTTTTTGGACATAGGGTCTCACTGTGCTCCAGCTGTCCTGAAATTCACTATGCAGACCAGGCTAGTCTCAAACTCACTGAAATCCTCCTACCTCTGCCTCCCCAAGTACCAGGACCAAAGACATGTGCCCAGCTATATACACAAAAGTTTTTATTTTGTTTTGTTTTTTGAGACAGGATTTCTCTGTGTAGCTTTGGAGCCTGTCCTGGAACTTGCTCTGTAGACCAGGCTGGCCTCGAACTCACAGAGATCTGCCTGTCTCTGTCTCCCAAGTGCTGGGATTAAAGGCATGAACCATAACCACCCCCACGGCATATATATGAAATTTTTAAAAACTAAATGTAAGCCTTGACTTTTGCAAGACTGGTTGAACAACAATGCAAGTGTATTTAATATTATTAAAACCTATATTTTAAAATTGTTATTAGAAAATGACAGATTTTATGTATCCTTTACTACAAATAAACCTTAAAAATATTTTTTAGGGCTGGAGAGATGACTCAGAGGCTAAGAGCATTTGCTGCTCTTCCAGAGGTCATGAGTTCATTTCTCAGCAACCACATGGTGACCCACAACCTTCTGTAATGAGATGTGATGCCCTCTTCTGGCATTCAGGCAAACATGCAAACAGAACACTGTATACATAATAAATAAATTCTAAAAAACTTTAATTATAATTCATTTATTTACTTTTTAAAAAAAATATTTTTTTATATTTATTTGTTTGTCTGTTGGTTGGTTGGTTTTTTGAGACAAGGTTTCTCTTTGTAACAGTCCTAGCTGTCCTGGAACTGGCTCCGTAGACCAGACTGGCCTCAAACTCACAGAGATCAGCCTGCCTCTGCATTCTGAGTGCTGGGATTAAAGGCACGCACCCCACTATTTTTATTTTACATGCATTGTTGTTTTGCCAATATATATGTCTGTGTGAGGGTGTAAGATCTTGGAATTACAGACAGTTGCTAACTGTCATATAGGTGCTGGGAATTGAACCCAGGTCCTCTGGTAGAGCAGTCAGTGTTCTTAACCACTGAGCCATCTCTCCAACTCCTTAAAAACATTTTTTAAAGAACTGATATTTAAGCTGGTGATGCACACCTTTGATCCCAGCATTCAAGAGACAGAAGCAAGCCCCGCATAGTGGTGTACACCTTTAATCCCAGCACTCAGGAGGGAGAGGCAGGCAGAACTCTGAATTTGAGGCCAGCCTGGTCTACATAATGAGTCATAGGATAGCCAGGGCTACATAGTGAGACCCTGTCTTAAAAAACAAAATGAGACAGAGGCAGAGGCAGGCGGAACTGACAGAAGCCAGCCTGGTCTATATAGCAAATCCAAGGCTAGCCAGATGACATAGTAAGACCCTGCCTCAGACACAAAACAAATAAACAAAAACTAGTATTTCCAGAAACTTTTCCTACAAATACATTTCTCTCAAAAAGATATTTTTTCTCAAAAACATTAGGAACATACAAACTGCCTCTTACACATAATCACAGGATGCAGTTATCTTTGTAGTGTATGTAACAGCCACCTTGTCCCCTTCTCATGACTAAAGTGCCCATCAAACAAAGTCTGTGTCTAGCCTTTCTTCACCATAAATCACCATGGCCAACATCTCTGCAGACTCTCTGGTGATGATGTCCTACTCCTGGGACCGGCTTTTGCCTGCCCACTTTGTGGTACCAGCACCCTTAATGTTCCCTGGGAAAACCTTCTTGTCACCCTGTCATCCATTCTTGCCTTGCCCTCCCACCACTCAGCCAGCTCTTATCCTATGTGGTTAGGTCCAGCATGTCTAAGTATATTGCTTAGTATGTGCCTTTAACGTGGTTACTGCCATTCCTCCTACAATTACAATTCTGATGATTACTGCTTTTACAAAGCTATTGCTTTAGGGAGATGAAGGTGTGGCTCAGTGGCCAAGTAGGTGGTTAATATGCTCGAGGTCCTGGGTTCAATCCCTGGCATCAAAAAAAGAAGAAAGGGAGAAAGAAGAAGGCGTGGTCCTTTCTCTCTCTTGTGGCTGTCTGCTCAGTTAACTGCATTATATATCTAAGTATTTTGAAGTTAACCTCTTGAGTTTTCTCAGCACATACTATGGAAGGTACAAATTCCACCATCTGGGTGGTGACTAAGAGTGAAAGCTCTGGGCTAAGGAGATGCTCAGGAAGAGTACTTGCTACACAAGCATAAGGATCTGGGTTTCAATCTCCAGCACCCACATAAAAAGATGGGGGTGGGGCTAAGAGATGGCTCTGGGTTAAGGGCAGTTGCTACAATTACCTATTACTGAGGATCCAGGTTTGATTCACAGCACCCACATGGTGGCTCACAACTCCAATTCCAAGGGCTCCTGCACGCATATGGTGCACGAACACTCAGGTTTTACACACAGACACACACACACACACACACACACACACACACACACACACACACGTGACTGTGTATGCCTGAAACCCCGGGACTATGGTAGATGGAGGAAAGGGAATCCCTGAGGCCAGCTAATTACCAGTCTAACTCTAGGTTCAGTGAAAGATGGAGTGACAGAGCAGAACCCACACCTGCACACACAGGCACACACACACACACACACAAAAGCTCAGCAAACCAAAACACAGGACCAAAATATAATGTGCTTTCAGGTAAGCATTTTACCATAGTTTTCATCCATAAACTGGAGATCATAACAGGCAGGGCCTGACTCACAAGGTTTTTATAAAGACGATTTTATTAGGGAACTGTAGAGTGCTTACCTAGAACACTCAAGGCCCTCAGTTCAATCCCCAGCAACCCACTCCACCAAAAGGACCAATTATACTGAGATTAGTGCATAAGAAGTGCTTCATGTGATACTAGTACAAAGAGGCCTGCTATCTGCCAACAATGAGCTCGGCTTGCTCTCCATGCTGCTGCCTTTTGTCCGTCTGTTGCTTCCACTGGTGCATGTCTTTCGGCAACAACCTCTCTCCCTAAGTTGTCGACTCCTGCCTTCCAGAGAAAGCTGTGCTATCAGTTTCCCCTTCCATCCCTGTCTTCTCAGCCTTTTTCCTCCCATCAGCTCTAGGCCAACTGCATTTAAACTCTTTCCTGTGCTTAAAAAAAAAAAACAAAAAACAAAAAAACCTCCCTTACTCCTCAACCGTTCTCCAGCCTTCTCCCTCCCTCCTCAGAGCTGCCTACACTCGGTCTTCTCACATCCCACTCTTACCTCATCCCACTGATACATTACACTGAACACTTAGAAGCTGGGACATTATAGATTCCGCCCCCGGCATTTCAACACATCTGCTCAGTCGGGTCCCTAGTGACCCCTGGAACTTATTTATTCAGATGGCACCTTCTTACTTTAACGTCTTCTACTTGCCATCTGGGTGGCATCTAACAATGCTGACCTCTGCCCTGGGCCTTCATTATCACACACTCCCTTGGTTTCCTCTTCCAGAGTCACTTCTTGGTGTCACTTAAGTGAATGGCTCTTCCAAGAGGGTACAAAGCAACAACCCTCAGAGCTGGGCCCTTTTTAAATCTCTCTCATTATTTTTCAGTATCATTGTTTTGTTTTGTTTTGTTTGGGGGGGGTGTTGAAACAAGGCCTGTCTATGCAGCCCAGGCTAGCTTTAAATTCCTGAGCCTCCTGCTCCAGCCTGCTGAGTGCTGGGAGTGTAGGTGTGAGCCACAACCGGTCAGTATTCATGTTCCACTGCCAGTTGTAGTCAACTGCTTTCGCCGCCATAAATAAACTATTAATGCCAGGTGTGGTGGCACACTTCTAATTCTAGTACTCCAGAGGAAGAGATAGATGAATCTCTGTGGGTTTTAGGCCAGCCTGGTCTACAAGGCAAGTTCCAGGCCAAACAGGGAGAGACTACATAGCGAGAGTCTGTCTCAAAATAAACAGAGTAATGAACTTGTGTGTATATGTGTGTACTGAAAAAAGGTTCCACTCAGTCCAGCCTAGCCTTGAACTTGTATGTAGCCAGAGATTAAACTCTAGACCCTCCTGCCTCCACCTGCAAAGGGCTGGGAAGATAGGCAGGTGCCACCATGCTGGGCTCTGTAACACTGCTTTCGAATGTGTCTGAAGTTCTGTCCCTTTACCTTCTCACCATCTTTCCAGACAGGGCTAACTCACACTACTCCTTCCCCAAACCTTCAAACTAGACTGTGTTCACCTGACCAGAAGTACTCCATTAACAACGCCCATCACACAGCCACCCGTCAGAGGCCAATTTCCTACCTAAGCTCTGAAGGCCATGACGGGAACCAGCTTTCTCGTTCCAGTGTGCACAGTGCCCAGCACCTCAGACTTGCTATCGTTTCCATCTATCTCCCAAGGGCTCAAGTGTTGAAATTTCACTTCCACTAGGAGGTTGCAGCTGAAGAGAGTGGAAACCAGTGTCTAGAGGTGGGACCTTTGGGAGGGAACCAGCAGTAGATAAGGCCATTAGGTTGGAATTCTTGTGACTGGATAATGGAACTTCTTGAGAGAAGGCCAAGGGTGAAGTTCAGAGGCAAAGCACCTGCTTAATATGGGCAAGAGTTTCTTCAACCTCCAGCACCACAAAAAGAGGAACCCTCAAACTCCCCATCTTGTAATATGCAACACTCTGAGCCACTTCAGGGCTTTTGCTATAAAAAGGCTATGGTCAGAAAAGCTACCCTTTTTATTTTTTCTGGTATTTAGTTTTAATAACGAAAAAGACCTATGACAATATTCTATATCTGGTTTCTGAATTACCATAAAGAAATGACTGTAAAGTGAAAAATAAGAGCAATGAGACTGCCGGGCAGTGGTGGCGCACGCCTTTAATCCCAGCACTTGGGAGGCAGAGGCAGGTGGATCTCTGAGTTCGAGGCCAGCCTGGTCTACAGAGCGAGTACTGGGACAGCCAGAATGACACTGTAAGACCCCCATCTCGGAAAACCAGACAAAAATAAGAGTGATGAGATTAAAGAGGGTGAGGGATCTACCCTTGATGAAGCACACCCACCTACTGACTAAAATCCCCTGCCAGCTCACACTTGTATCCTAGAACTCAGAAGATGGAGACAGACACAAGGAGTTCACGGCTAGCCTCTGCGATGTAACAGCAACTAGCCAGTCTACAGGCCATAAATAAGACCCTGTATAAAACAAGCAATCCCCTGAAGACCCCAAAAATAAAATCCCAACTTCCTAAAACTTTACCCCCCCCCAAAAAAAAAAGTGTCAGGAAGAGCCAAGTCCTATCTCTCAAACATCAAGTAGAAACTATTTCTGCCTTTCAGATTCTCTTCCAGCCTAAAATTCTTGGGAGATTCTCTACAAGTCGGGCTGTCTCCTCAGGGTTCTGTCTTCCTAACAATCAGCCTCGACTCCAACTCCTGGCCAACACAACGACCGACTTCCTATCTCCTTTGGAAGTAATCTTCTTGTGTAATCTCTCTAGGACCACCACTCTCACTTCTTCAGGTCCACAACTGCTCTCTCTGCGCTCAGTTTCCTGTACGTGCAAAACGACAGCTCAAATAATACCAAATTCTTGTCCATAGGTCTACGGACTGGAGTGGAGTTCCCTAAGGACATGATGTTTCATTCATTTTTTTTCCTTAAACCGCTGGCGATCAGCCCGGGCCCTGGTTCTCAATAAATCCTCATTGATGTTCCTCGCAGCAGTAGCAACAAGGCAAGCTCCCACACAGCGCACATCTTAAATATAAATACATTTTGTGATCATCTTATAAGACATTATCCCCATTGTAGAGGTGCGAAAACTGACGCAGGAATAAGTCCAATATCGACGCCCCCCCCGGGAGGCACACGCATACGTTTTCTTCAGTTCCTAGTTACTCGACGACAAACCGTCAAAGAAAAGGAGCTTTAAAAATACGTTATTTAAAAAGAAAACTTTCCAATGAGCCTCAAGAGATGCGTAAGAATAAAAGCCGAAAGCGCACCCACCCGAAGCGGGCCGGGGTCAGAGGGCGTCGCAGGCGCCCGCTCCCGGGCCCAAGGGACTAAGTCCAGCCCTCCGTCCTTGCCCCGCGTCCTCGCGGCCCGTCCCTCTCCGGTAGCCTTGTGGATCGCTCCTCTCCGAGCCGCGCCCGCCCGCTCGCTCTGCCGCCGCTTACCTGCCGCC